TAAGATGATATAAGCTATGCTAAGTTCAGCTAAGCTAAGCTAGGCCAGGCAAAGCTAAGCTAAGCTAAGCTACAGCTACGCGAAGCTAAGATGAAGCTAAGCTAAGCTAAGCTAAGCTAAGATGAGATAAGCAACGCGAAACTAAATGAACGTCACTGGGGGAACCGCGGGGCGGATGCCAAGAAAACCGCCCGGGGCGTGCCCCACTGCCCGGCCCTTTAAGCAAACAGAGTAAGAACCCTTCTAGGCAGAGCCTCGGTAGGGAATAAACTTCTTCCTTCCTCCGATATCTCACCCCACTCATTCCGCCTCCATCCTCCCCTCTCCCTGCCCCGTTCATCCCCTTCCCGGTTTCTTCCTCCATTCCCCCATTATGTCCCGGCTTCCACTTCCTCCCATTCCTACCTGCTCGCACCTTTTGACTCCCTCCCTGTTTCCTCTTTCTCATCCACTACGCCTCCGGATAGCCCACCTCCCACTCCTGTCTCCTCTCCTCTTATCGTGCTCTGTCCTTCTATTTCTGTGTGGCCTCACGGCGCGCAACTTTTGGTGGCCATCAGCATAGGAACCATTCCCCGCAGTCGAAGGGCTCGCGCTTGAACCCATCCTGCAGGAAACATACACGTCATAAGCATTCGACCACGTAGACAAGCAAACCGTATATGAACGAAAGGGAGGCAACACGAGGAGGTGCCAAACACACAGTTTCACTATATCATGATATGTACAAATGCTCACGTTGACATCGTCACGTCTGTTGACATAGTCGTTTACGTTGATGCTGGCATCGTCAATTGCGTTGAAACGCGGACATCCCGCAGTGTCATTGCAATCGTGGTTTATCGCCCTGTCGTCCATGTACAAGAACTGATGGGTCACGTTCTCCCAATCGCCGAAATGACATACTGTTGAATCTGGTCCGCGCTTTCCAACCTTGGTGCCAGGGGTCGCCGGAAGAAGTAGGGGGCGGGCAGAGGGCAAGGGAGGACCCATGGGTGCAGGGAGGACGATGAGGAACAAGACAAACAGGAGCAGAAGCAGGAACCAGACATTAGCAGGACGACAGGAAACGTAATCTGTGAAATGACAGGAGGGATCCTCGATGAGGAAGATCATGAAAAGGAGAAACAGGCGGCAGAGGAACAGGAAGAGGAGGAGGATGAAAGCCCCACTTCGCCCGCCCACTTGGCCAAGGTCGTGCCAGAAATTATGGTGGAAGGCTCGCCCACTGGGCTTGGCTGGTCTAAAGAAATCGTTCTGCTCACCACCTCGTTCCCCTTCGGGATGAGGTTTCCCTCTCCCCCTACCTCCTCCCTCAGGATTCCTGGTTGGTTCCTGGTGGTTCCTGGAATGTCCCAGACAGTCCGGTATGGCCACACAAATCGCCCAAGATGGCCCACGCTGAGCCAAGACAGCCGCCCACATGTCTCTAAGAGCCGCCAAGATCGCCCCAGGACGGCCCCGAGTGCCCTCCGAGCCTCCCGAGGAGGCCTCCAAGAGGCTCGTCTCGTGTTGGAACCCTCGACACCTTCGAGGGGGTCCTCATCTCATCAATGCCGCCGAGACCAGAACGCCCGTAGACACAACGAACCCTGGAAACGCCTTCGTTTCTCCAGGCCCAACCCCGTTTTCGCCCCTCCACCCTATGACCGTCCCTTTTTTCTTATACGCAGCAGCTACATCATCATGCAAAGCGGGCGCTTAAATCACACGCGCTTGCCAAAATTCTGTGAATCCAATGTTTTGGAAGAGCTCTCGACCACCCAAGGTCTTCAATTTTAGGGGCGTGACCGTTGATCGGGCGAACGAACGCCCGCCAAAAACAACGAACCCAATGAACGCAATCGTTGCTCCAGACCCCTGTCCAGCCTTCGACCCCCCCCTTTTTTCCGAGACGCGACGACTTCATAGTGATGCAAGACGAGCGCCTGGGACACGCGCGCCAGCCGTAATATTCACCCCCCCCCTTTCCCAAGAACTCTCGGCCACCCAGGGCGGTAGCCGTTGATCACGCGAACGCTACGCCAAAGAACAGACCATCTGTCGGCGCAGCGAGCGAGCGCCCGTGAGCGCAGGCGGGCGGCGGCAGGCGAACGGCGGCGGCGACGGGGGCTCGGCCGAAGCGCGCGGGAGCAGGCACGGAACGTGCACGCGTCAGCGGGGGGCAGCGACAAGGAGGGATACAGTCGAAACCGGTGGTCTGGATCGGTCGCCGTCCCAAGGGTACCGCTGCATCCGTGCCTCGTCCGTCCGTCCTTGACCACTCTCGATGGTCGGCCCCGCGCGAAGAGCCTCGGCATGGGTGCCCAAAGGGGGTCGGCATCCTTGTCGCACAGCTTTCCTACCCGTTTCGCCCGCTCACGCAGGGACTCATCCACCCACCATCGCCCTGTTTTCGTTAGCTCGGGCCTGTCCCCCTACAGGGATATTTTGCACGAAGAATAAAGAAGATACGCAGACAATTGCAAAACATACTGAAAATCATCCAAACATCGTCCCCTGATTTTTTCCCAACCCTCCTGCGTTGGGTTCTCGATTATTTGAATAGAGCACTGCTCGCGCGTCGCCTTCCTTACTTCCTTCCTTCCTTCCCGCCCCCTCCCGCCCCTCTCTTCCCCCTTGCCTTTCGCCTCGCTCGTCGCTGCGTGCCAGCTGGGGGGCTGCGATCTGTAAAACTGTCGCCACTTTCGAGGCCTGCTGGGGGGCCCAGCACACTGGGTAGTCACGGCAGACTCGAATGGGACCTCGCCATCCCTGGGGGGCTGCGATCTGTGAAACTGTCGCCACTTTCGAGGCCTGCTGGGGGGCCCAGCACAGTGGGCACTCACGGCAGACTCAAATGGGACCTCGCCATCCCTGGGGGGCTGTGATCTGTGAAACTCTCGCCACTTTCGAGGCCCGCTGGGGGGCCCAGCACAGTGGGTACTCACGGCAAACTCACATGGGACCTCGCCATCCCTGGGAGTCTGCGATCTGTAAAACTGTCGCCACTTTCGAGGCCTGCTGGGGGGCCCAGCACGGTGGGTACTCACGGCAGACTCAAATGGGATCTCGCCAGCCCTGGGGGGCTGTGATCTGTGAAACTGTCGCCACTTTCGAGGCCTGCTGGGGGGCCCAGCACAGTGGGTACTCACGGCAGACTCAAATGGGACCTCGCCATCCCTGGGGGGCTGCGACTGTGAAACTGTCGCCACTTTCGAGGCCTGCTAGGGGGGCCCAGCGCAGTGGGCACTCACGGCAGACTCAAATGGGACCTCGCCATCCCTGGGGGGCTGCGATCTGTGAAACTGTCGCCACTTTCTAGGCCTGTTGGGGGGCCCAGCACAGTGGGTACTCACCGCAGACTCAAACTGGACCTCGCCATCCCTGGGGGGCTGCGATCTGTGAAACTGTCGTCACTTTCTAGGCCTGCTGGGGGGCCCAGCACAGTGGGTACTCACGGCAGACTCAAATAGGACCGCGCCATCCCTGGGGGGCTGCGATCTGTGAAACTGTCGCCACTTTCGAGGCCTGCTGGGGGGGCCAGCACAGTGGGTACTCACGGCAGACTCAAATGAGACCTCGCCATCCCTGGGGGGCTGCGATCTGTGAAACTGTCGCCACTTTCGAGGCCTGCTAAGGGGGCCCAGCACAGTGGGTACTCACCGCACACTCAAATTGGACTTCGCCATCCCTGGGGGGCTGCGATCTGTGAAACTGTCTCCACTTTCGAGGCCTGCTGGGGGGCCCAACACACTGACGCCACACGCAGATTCACCCAGCACAGTGGGTACTCACGGCAGACTCAAATGGGACCTCGCCATCCCTGGGGGGCTGCGATCTGTGAAACTGACGCCACTTTCGAGGGCTGCTGAGGGGCACAGCACAGTGGGTACTCACCGCGGACTCAAATTTGACATCGCCATCCCTGGGGGGCTGCGATCTGTGAAGCTGTCGCCACTTTCGAGGCCTGCTGGGGGGCCCAGCACAGTGGGTACTCACCGCAGACTCAAATGGGACCTCGCCATCCCTGGGGGGCTGCGATCTGTGAAACTGTCGCCACTTTCGAGGCCTGCTGAAGGGGCCCAGCACAGTGGGTACCCACACGCAGATTCAAATTAGACCTCTCCTTGGGGGGCTGCGATCTGTGAAACTGTCGCCACTTTCGAGGCCTGCTGGGGGGCCCAGCACAGTGACGCCACACGCACATTCTAATTAGACCTCGCCATCCCTGGGGGGCTGCGATCTGTGAAACTGTCGCCACTTTCGAGGCCTGCTTGCGGGGCCCAGCACAGTGACGCCTCCCAAGTAGCTTACACATCAAGTCGATTGTCCATAAAAGTTTCGGCCAACTCTGATACAAATGGGTTGGGTACGTCACAGGGTAATTTTTTAAAAAAATATGTGTGAATATTTCCCCTGTAGAGGGACAGGCCCGACTCAGTGTTCTCGCCGACGCGCTTGATAGCCGCACCCCGCCCGGGAACGCTGGGATTTGCCATCGACGGGCCTCTCGCCGACCTGTCGGCATTGTATGATGGGCCTGTTTTTCACCGCCACCACCATAAGTTGGAGGGGGAAAGAAGGGGATGAGGAGGAAAAGGACGACGAGGAGGAGAACGAAGAGGAGGAGGAGGAGGAGGAGGAGGAGGAGGAGGAGGAAGAGGACCCCCCCTCCAACTTATGGTAGTGGTGGTGGTGGAAAACAGGCCCATCAGATCTGTCGGCGATGTATCGCCGATTCAGGGTCGATGGTTACCCCCTGGGAGCCGGTTCCCGGGGCGGGAGGCCTCCGGGTCACACTTCGGACCTCCGGCGGCCGTTCGGGGCGATGCAGGCCCTCCCCCCCCCGCGCATTCCTCCGCTTCTTCTTCCTCCCCCTCCTCCTTGTCATCCCCGTGCCAGCCCTGCTTTTTCTACTCCTCGCGCCGCCTCCTCCGCATCCCAGCCCCGCGCTGCCGTCTCCGCCCCCTGCCCTGGCGAATGCCCTAGCGCTGAGCGGCCCACAGCTCCGACACGACTCAGCCCAGAGACGCCTGCAAGGCGGCGATGAGCCCCGCCAGGCCCGCCGCGCGGCGCGATGCGGCACCGCCGTCGGCGGCATCCGGCTCCGCGCCGAGGCTGACGACACCGCCCTCGGCGCCGATGCGGGCGTCCTGCCCAGACTCCCCGCCCACGGCGGCGGCAGCCTGGGGACCCCCCAGGCTGCGGCCCGCCGCACCCGCCGACGGCGACCTCCAGCCCCACGTCGAAGCCGTCCCTCGCTCGGCGCGTGGCCGCCGCGGCCGCGGCCCCCACGGCAAGGCCGCCCTCCGCCGCGAAGGGCGCGAGGCCCGCGGGGCCGACCCCGCCGCCCACGAACCCGTCCGCCCCTGGGCCAGGAGGGCGGTGGCCGGCAGCAGCAGCAGCACAGCTGTTCTCGTCGCAGCCGCCGTCGTCGGCGACGCCGAGCTCGGCGGGAGGCCGCCCGACGGCCGTCGGCGTATGCACCGCGGTGGCCGCAGCGAGCAGATCCTCGAGCTCGACGAGGCGGTCGGCGGCCGCATCGACCTCGGCGCGCTGCGCCTCAGACCCGTCTCCCAATCGACGGTCCCCCGATGCTACGATCGCGAGCGCCGCCGCATCCCTCCGCTACTTGGCGCCTCGGAGGAGGGCTTCCAACTCCGCGGCACTCGTGCCCTGAGGGACTCTCGCGATCTCCTCGAGGGGCCCGGCGCTGTCGTCGTCGAGAACCGGCACCTCCGAGCCGTCGAAGGTCAGGCCGTCCTGGACGCCGAGAGCCGCGCAGCCGCATCGAAGGCGTCGTGCTCCAGCCGCTGCACGTCGGCGACCCGAAGGTCACCCGCACCCTGTTGCTCGACGCCCCATGCCAGGCGCGCAGGAGGACGCTGGCACGACAGGGGCGGCATCTGGTGAGAGCCTGGTGCCCTCCACCGCCGAGCCCATCTCGGCCGGCACCCGCGCCTCCAGCCGCGGGCCCTTCGGAACCCGCCTCAGCGCGGCCTCCCCCGCCGTTGCCAGAGCCCGCGCCGTCGGCATCCGCGTGGAGGGCGACGTTCCTGCGGAGCGCCTCCAGCCAGGCCGGCGCCCGTCCAGCCAGGCTTCGTGCGCCGGGCGGGGAGCAGCGCCCGCAGCCGCTGGCCCACCTCGTCGCGCCTCGGCCACCGCCGTGAGCGCGTCCTCCGCCACCGCCCAGCGGCCTCTGCCGCGCGCGAGCAGCTCCTCCGAGAGCTGCCGCACGGCGCGGCCCGCGGAGCGCCGCGCCCACCCCCGAGCTGCGCGCCGCGCGTCGGCGGTGCGCCGTGGGCGGGCCGCGGCCCCGCCCTCCCGCAGCTCCGTCGCAGACCTCACGTCCACCGGCCGTCGCCGCCGCCATCTCCGGAAAGCGGCTCTGGAGACGTGGGGGACGGCTCGAGCCAAAGTGGCCACTGAACGGTGGGGGCGTTGGACGAGGAACCGTTGGATGAGGAATCCAGGGTCCAGACGCCCGGAAACTCCAACCGTGGATTGGCCATGGAAGCCTCCGCCGCCCGAATCATGTAAGGGATCCCCCAGGGTCTGAAGCCTCCTAGGCACATTCCTCAACCAATGTCCTACCGTAGTCGACGACATGGGACTCGTTACAGTTTCGCTCCGAACTTGGCGCAGCATCAACCCAGGCACGCCTCCTGTGCGCGAGGGCCACGTAAGGACAGGCGCGGTCAGCATCTAATCGATACTTCGGATCGAGTTGGGACGCATCGGAACGGACTCCGAATCGAATTGAGTCGCCCGCTCCTGGATGCACAGCAGCGTCATGCAGGCACCGCGCCGCATCGGATATTCTGACTATTGGACTCGAATCGGATCGGGCTGGCCGAAGCCGATTTTGAATCGGACCGACCAGCCAGGCATGTGCCATAAAAGGGCGTGTACCAGAGACGGAGCGGTCGGCGGTCCCGAGCGCCTGGCCTTGCTCTGCACCCTGGCCAGGTACCACGGCATGCCCGTCTCGGCCTCGAACTCCGCCGCCGTCAGCGTGGGCAGGACGCTGGAGATGGAGGGGGACGACGAGGAGGATGAGGGGGAGGACGTCGAGAACGACGAGGAGGTCGAGGAGGAGGAGGACGACGACGACAGCTACGAAGAGGAGGACAAAGACGAGGAGGCCGATAGCGAGGAACAGGGATAATAATGTCGAATACGACGACGGCGACCTCTTCAGCTGCTTCAGGTTGATCAACTCCTCGAGGCGAGTTGTCTTCGTCCAGTTCCTGGTGTTGCCGACGATGGCCTTCAAGCGACCCTCCTCATCCTCCTCAACAGCCTCATATCTCGTGATGAAAAGTCAATCAAATCGAAACCGATGACGAGCCAATGTGACCCGAAGACGAACATTGTGAAGTCTTGTCCTCCGCCATGTCCTCCTCCTCCTACCTCATCCTGCTTCTCGTGCACCTCGCCACCTCCTTCTATGCATCTCTCTCTATATATATGTGTGTATACATATATGTATATGTACATGTATATGTATATGTATGTTTACATATATATATATATATATGTATGTATGTATCCACGCCACGCGCACGCTTCGCGAGCGCTCAGGTTCTAGCATGTGCCAGCTCCGTCCTACACGCTACACAAGTGCACCATAGACCCATAGGTCCACCCAATTGTACACAAATCCAATCGCACATTGACCCATACACTTAACCGCTCAGAATCGATCAATACCTCCACCCAACTTCAACGTTATCAAAAACTCAGTTGCAGGCGCATGTCTCCACACACCGTCTATAATCATGTGTGTCGTTGGAATGAACTGTTTGTACACATACACATGCACGCATGTATGCATACATGTAGACGCACATGCACACGTATGCCTATTCCACTACATCGATGTATAATTAATGGTTATATTTGTATGTCGGGCAGCGGGATCCCCAAACAGGATGTTTCGATTAATTCGTCAGCCCAACGGGACAGAGGCGTGCTAAGATCTTCTGTGACTGGTTCAGAGTTCTCTAGCTCGCGCGCGCGGGGCCGCCCCTGGGGGTCCCTAGCCGAAAAGTACCCCAGCAAGGTCTGATCAGAGATTGTTTCGCTCCTGGGCGTCGCCCTCGGGGCCCCCCGTAAAGCTAAAAGAAAGGCCAAGAGGCCCCCAAAAGGCCGTCAAGATGGCCCAAGAGGTGTCCGGGACACCACTAGATCGCTCCAAGACGCCCAACATGCCCCCCAGACAGCCCAAGAGCCATCCAAGAGCACTTCCCAGAGGGCCCCCACATATACAAGTTTTTGAAGTCTTGAAAGAATTTGCCATTCTCCCCGTTGCAGCTTCCCGGCGCTCAAAGACGGCCCAAGAGGCCTCCAAGATCGCCCCAAGAGACCCTCTAAACAGGCTCCAAGACGGCCCAAGAGAGCCCGAGACGGCTCAACAGGCCTCCAAGAACCGCCCAAGAGGCCCCGATGACGGCTCCAAGGAACCCAGACGGGGGATCCGAACGGACGTTTCGAGCCCTCGGCCCCGAGAAGCCCCTAGGAGGCCCCAAGGGGACCCCAAAAGGCCCCCGAGAGGCCGCCAAGAGGACCCCAGGAATCCCCAAGAGACCCTAAAGATGCCCCCGAGAGGTGCCCAAGACGCTCCAGAGTCCTCAGAACTGCCCTCGAGAAGCCCCCGAGAGCGCTCCGAAGAGACCCAAAAAAGCATCCCTGACCCATCACCTAGCCATGTCGGTGAGCAGTAGAATCCAGAACCCCCACGACAAGCTCCAAAGCAATTACTTCACATCCATGCCTGCTGTCGACAAGTCTCCATGAAAAAGACTACCGCCAAGCAGCGCCGCATAGGCAACGGACGCGCTGGCAAGTGCCAGCGATGGCGAAACACGAGCCAGTGGAATGAGCGAAGCGCAAGAATGTATGTTGTGCAACATATACACATACATATCCTGCATGTCTATGTGTGTGAGCACCTATGGCAATATAGGTGGTACTGTCTATGTTGTACAGTCGGTGTTGGGCAATCTACGTGGAGCAGCCTATGTTGTACATGACATGTGGTGCAACCGACGTGATGTAACCAACGTGGTGCAAGCTATGCTGTGCAGTCTATGTGGTGCAATCAACGCGGCGAAACCACTGTGTTGCAATATAATTGGTGCAACCTGTGTGGTGCGCAACATATATTGTGCAACCTATTAGGAACCAACTATGTGCGCAACTAATTTTTACCCATGATTTGACACATCCCATGCTCTTGCAAACATCCCACCCACCCACCCGCAACTTGGTTTGCAAAACCTCTTGAGACCGTGACGGTAGATACCAGATGGCACTTGGCAACGATACCGACGCCGACGACGACGACGACGGCGACGACGACGACGCCGACGTCGACGACGACGAAGACGACGACGACGCCGACGCCGACGACGACGACGAAGACGACGACGACGACGTCGCCAACGAAGACGACGACGAGGGAGGAGGGAGGACGACTACGGCGACAACGACGACAACGACGACAACGACGAGGGAGGAGGGAGGACGGCGACGACGCGAACGACGAAGACGGAGGAAGGACGGCGACGCCGACGACGACAACGACGAGGGAGGAGGGAAGACGACGACGACGACAACGACGACGACGACGACGACGGCGACGAAATAGGAGGGACGACGACGAGACGCCGACGACGGACGACGACGACGACGAGGGAGGAGGAGGAAGGACGACCACGGCGGCAACGACGACGGAAACGACCACGACGCCAAAGAGGACGACGACGACGAACACGAGGAAAGACAGAGGACGACGTATGACGACGACGACGACGCGGGAGGAGGGAGGACGGCGACGACGACGACGACGACGCAAGAGCGCGCGCGCACGCTTTTGTTGAAAATCCGTGTTGCGAAACCTTGTGTTTTTGTATGTTTTTGGACACACGATTTTGAACTCCTTCCGAAACCGATGGGCTTTGAAGGATTTCGGCATACGCGCGCGACGACGCGCGCGTCTGCACTTCGTCCCATTTGTTGCAGAGGATTCTCGCGACGGCAGACGCGCAAGGGCATTCGACAGATTTCGACATGAGCGCGCGCGAAGCCCGTTTGGTAGCATGTTGTGGAAATCTGGAAAACCTACAGTTTTCGTAAGATTTCGCAAGAGCTCGCGCGTAAGCTTTTTTAGCAAATCAGTGTTGCGAAACAATGTGTTTTTGTATGTTTCTTTGGAAACTCGATTGCCAAATCCTTCCGGCACCGAAGGTTTTTTGAAGGATTTCGGCATGCGCGCGCGACGACGCGCGCGTGTGCACTTCGTCCCATATTTTGCAAGGGATTCGCGAACAAGTCTTATGTTAGAACAAAAAATGTCACCGTATAATGTTGTTCACAAGGGAACCTCAGGGGGGGGAACCTGGTTGGCCTGGGACTTTGTGATTTCATATTAAGGATGGACATGTGGTCAGAATCATAAATGATTTACATACCCGAAAGGGGGGCGATAACGCCCGGAGGGGGTAGAGTCTATTCTCCTTTTAGAAAGGAAGATAGATGTTGTTCAAATGTATGCCGTGCAGTGTATGCTGTGACACATACGCGTTTGAATATAATTGGCGCGCTCTAGTGATACCTGTGTTGTAATATATGATGTGCAGTCTACGTGGAGCAATTTATGTGACGCAGTCAATGTGGAGTACGTGGTGCAATTCATTTGCTGCGCATCTATGATGTGTACAGTCTATGTGGACAAATCTATGTTGTGCGATCTACAATAGGAGCCCGACCACAAGAAACCTTCAACAAGAAACCCAACCCTGAGACCCAAGGGCGTCCATTGATTTTTGGTGTGGATACGTCACACGTTCCATAGCAAAACCATGGAAACCCAAGAAACCCAGGGGACCCTGGAGGCAAGTTGGGTGTTTCTTGGCATGGGTCTCCACTGTATGTGGCGGCGACGAGGCGGCGACGGGGATAAAATTGCCGCCACAACGACTCGCAGGCCCAGACGACGGGCGGCGACGAGGCGAAGACGGGGCGGCGACGGCGACAACATAGCCACCAGACCGACCCGCAGGCCCAGACGACGGGCGGCGACGAATCGGCGACGGCGACAGCATAGCCGCCAGACCGACCCGCAGCCCCGGCTCCTTTTTCCACAAGCAAGAACCCTAAGAGCAAGCCCAGTTCGGGGAATGTGTCTGACTTGTTTGCGTATAAAGATGTATTTTCAAATGCATACAACAACATGTAGATACAGTAAGCATGTCATCTATCGAATCTGGGGCTGTGAGGCGACCGCTCCAGAGAGTCTCTTGGGGCCATCTCGATACCGCCATGGCGACGTTTTGGGCAGCCTTGGGCCCCTCTGGGCCATGTTGGGGGTCCCTTGGGGCTGCCTTGAAGCCGTTTGAGGGTACTTATGAGCTATGTGGAGCCCTGCCGAAGTAGTTTTCGGGCGCCTTGATCTTCTCGTGGGATGTCTTAGGGCTCTCTTGGGATGGCCGCCTTTGGGGGATACGGGGCGTTCTTGGGAGCTTCTTGGGCCATCTTGGAGGCTCCTAAGACTGAGAAGGCGAGTATGGCAAAATCATACGAGACATATTGAAAATCAACGGACTGTGTCTCTTGAGGGCCTCTTGGGAGTCCTCTTCGGGCCCCCTGGGGACGCCTTGGGAACCTGATGGAGCCTCTAGTCCGGTACTCGTGCACTCTGCAGGCTTCCAGGTGTTCTCTCGGGCCGCCCTAGAACTGTCTGGAGCGGCAGTGGAGGGGCCTAGGACACCCTAGAAGGGGTGCCAAAACCCGTCGGCCAAGAAATGGGGAACATCGGGGAGGGTCTGCCGCTCATCGGCCTCTCCCTGGGGCCGGCTCGGATCGCGGCCGTCGTCCATGCCCCAAGGAAGCAAAAAAAGAGAAGCACATCCTCCATCCCCCCCTGTCACACGGAGGAGGAAGGGCAGGGTGAAAGGGTAAGGGATTATGAGGAAGTGGGAGGGACTGAGGGAGAGTGGCGAAGGTCTCAGGTGGACGAGAATAAGGAAGTCCTGGAGAAGGCTGTAAAGGTGTCTTCCGGGTTTGGACGGGTCTATGAGATTCTAGGGCTTGGGGAATAAGGAAAGAGATATAGAGAGACAAAAACAACTAAATACATACATACATGCATAGAGAGAGACAACAAAATAAGTAACACGAGATGCGTCAGGGAAAGAGAAGAGATGTCTCACTCCTCCTTTTCCACTCTTCCCTCGTCTCACCTATCCCTCCCCTCCTCCTTTTCCTGGTCATCCCCCTCATTCCCCTCCTCCTCCTCCGATGCATTGCACGGGAGACGATCGATCGAATCACATCGGGCCGACAAACACACACACATACACACACACACACACACACGCGCGCGCACGCACGCACGCACGCACCCACGCAAGCACGCACTTGTCCACAGCCCTTGCCCAGGAAGGTACATCGGCTCAGCCAGGACAGCAACACCAAGGGTGGGCCATACGCGAAGATATCGAGATTACCAATGGATCGGGGAGGGCGTAAAGGTGGGCCAGGGAGCAGAGGTGGGGTTAGAGGACATATTGTATCGGGTCGCGTACAGCCACGGCGCTGGTGGACGCCATCCCCGAGCGCAGCGGTAACCACGTCGGCGTCGGGCAAGCGTGCGACGAGGCGAGCGGTCCCCTCGGATCGCGGGCAGCGCCGGGGCCTTGTTCCACGGCCCGAAGTCCAGGAGGTACATCGGCGCCGCAGGAGGCAGCACCAGGGTGCGGTTGGTGCGGCGGGCCACGACGCCGGTCAGCTCCAGAGCGATGCGGATGTTGTTCAGGCCCCCGTGGTCGATCGTGAAGAGGAGGTACTTCTCTGTGGAGGGGAGCGGGGCCCCCTGCTGGCTCCAGTACTGCATGCGCCGCAGGATGGTAGCCTCTGTCTTGCAGTGGGGAGGGGGGTGAGGGTTTAGAGTCGGCGACTAATTGCCTTGCTCTGCTGGGTTATGATTGCGCCCTTTTGGAGGAATGGGTAGGACGGGTGGGCTCAAAATGTGCTCTCGCTCATCCGTGTTATCCCCCAAGCTGCCCTCCATGAAGCGCGCGAAACCTGACGTTTCCCAATGCTTCCACGGCCTGGCGTGCATGCAGTTCCCACTCGTCCTTGTGTGGTGCCTAGATGTCTGGTGCTTGGCACAATACACTACATGAGAAAAGAACTGACACCTACCACACTTGCGTCAACCCGCGCAAAAGCCCTGCAAATAACAACAACACATTACATTACCCCACTGCGCAACCGGTACAACAAGTCCAGCGGCCGCTGTACGCTTCACTACTTCGAAACGCGTGTGTGTGTGTGCCGAAGAGCATAATTAACATTGCGGGCATCATTCGGCATTGACCTACAACGGCATTCGGCATCACGAGGAGGAATGACAGTGGGCGGATGAGGAATAATAATAGTAGGATGCAGGTGCGAAGAAACAGGATGAGAGGGGGGTGAGAGGATATTCAGACGGGGGCCAGAAGGAGGAGGAGGAGGAGCCGGACGAAGGGACAAATAGGAAGACAACGCGATCAAAGAGGGTACGGAGAAAGATGAGGAGAAGCAGGAAGAGGAGAAACCTGGAGGAGGGGACAAGGAGGGCGACAACGATGGCGACGACGGGTGGGCCTCATCCACGTCCTTGGTGGCCAACTGGTGGTGGTGGCCAGAGTCGAGAAGACTCGTTGGTCTTGAGGGCAGTGCGATCGCAGCTGCCCTAGCGACGCAGAGGGATGCCGCGAGGAGGCGGACTACCATTGTGCCAGATCGCTCCTCCGGCAGTGTGTACAGTACGAAGTATGGAACAGGGCTGGACCTAAAAGTTGTTTTTCGTTTTGTTTTCGTTTTGTTGTTCGTGTTGCTCTTCCCATTTCCTGTATCTCCCTCCCAGGACGAAAAACAAAACACAGCCGAAGTCCAGCAAAACAGCGTTTAGGTTCAGCCCTGGTATGGAACACTCACGCAGAGCGGCGGCTGACCCGCCGCTCCATTAGCCGAAAGGGCTCCGGCGAGGAGAGGAGGGCGAGGAGGGGAGGGGGACGAGGCGCAAGGAGACAGGGGGGCAGAGGGGGCACCGCAGGAAGAAAACAGGAGGCAGAGTGATGGGGGGAAGGGGCAAAGGGGGGGGGGCGGGGGGAGGAGGGAGGGAGGATGAGGAGGGACTAGGGGCAAGGGAGCAGAAGGAGGGAGAGAGAGAGAGAGGAGAAACGATGGAGAAGGAGGAGAGGCGAAGGGAGAAGGAAGGAGAGAGGGGGAGGTGGAAGAGGAGGGAGGAGGTAGAAAAACGGAGGACGGTGGACGACGAGAACGAGGGCTCGTGCGCACCAGGCCTGATGGTAACGCCCTCCGCTGATATGCTGGGCTCACGTGTGGAACGGGAGGCCACGCGCTGGATACGCCTGCGGAAGCCTGCGGGCGGCCACCGCAGGGCTACGCGCGGGAAAGGCATCTGGCCACATGTGAACTCCACTCGATGATCCTCAGAACGTGTGTTAGCCCTAACGTGTGTGCTGTCCATCGAGGCCCTTCGATACGACGCAGGCGATGTGATGATCTCCTGTTTGGTTTAGGCTTCAGGGGGCCACCACACATTGGGCGAACACACGTCCTGAGGATCATCGATCCACTCCCTCTAGGGGGACGAAGAGTGACCAAACACATAAGAACTCGGAGGCCCGCGCGGACTTCTCGGATCGGCGCTGGACCCCCCTCCCCGGCGCGCGGAGCGCGCCAAGGGCGGCGCGCCGCCGAGGCTCCTCCTGCTGCTCCTGCTCCTCCTGCTCCTCCTGCTCCTCCTCCTCCTTTTCCTCTCCTCCTCCTCCTCCTCCTCCTCCTCCTCCTCCTCCTCCTCCTCCCTTCTGCCTCCTGCCTCCTCGTCCCCCCCCTGTATCGGCAACAGCCCTTCTCCTGCCGCCGGGCGGACCGCGGCTTGCCTCTCCCGTGCACCCCAAAGGTGCCGCCCCCCGCCCCCGGCGGCCTGGCCTTCCCCTGCGCAGGCCCTGTCGGTACGCTGGTCTCCGGTGCCGGAGGCCGCCAGCGCACTGCTCATGGCGATGAAGCCTCCTCTCTCGGCCGCCCTCTTCCTCCTTCTCCTCCCCCTCCTCCTCCTTCTCCTCCCCCCTCATCCTTCTCCTCCTCCTCCTCCTCCTCCTCCTCCTCCTCGTCCTCCTCCTCGTCCCCTGGTGATCACACGCGTGAGCCCCCGGTTCTGGCACAGCCCGCGGGCTGACCGAACACGTTGGCGTTGCCGTCTGCCCTCGCTGCTGGTGGAACTGTCCAGCTCTTGCCCGGGCCAGCGGCGTCCTCTGCATCCAGCCTCTCCTGGTGCACGGGAATTGGTGAAGGGCAGGCGCATGACGCCTGACGCGCTGTGCGAGTGCTGCAGAGGCTGCGGGCCTCACGCAGGGGTAGCCACTTGCAAGGCCAGGAGTGCAGAGCAGGTGTGCCTCAGGCGACGGGCGAAGGAGGAACGAAGGGGAGATCGGGACAAGAGAAAGAGGAACATCGAGGGAAAGCGAGAGAGAGAAAGAGAGGCGGAGGGTGAAACGGGAGAAGGATAGGGCGAAACGTGAGCAGGCGGGTGGGGAGGAGGAAAAGCAGGAGGAAACGGGAGGAGGAGCGAGACATGGACGAGGAGGGCCAGGAGGAGGAAGAAGCAAAACTAAGATTCCATCGTATCAGATCCCATTGCGTCCGCAGCATGCCGAAAGGACATGCACCCCTGAACGGCTGCTGCCCCTCTGCCGAGGCCTCGAACGCACCCGCGCGCGCTCCCCTGGGTCCTGCATCTCCACGATCCGGAAAGCCAGGTGTGCCTCTGCGCCAGGGGTGGGTCTCCTCTTCCTCCTCCTCCTCCTCCTCCTCCTCCTCCTCCTCCTCCTCCTTCGCCTCCTCCTCCTCCTCCTGCTCTTGCCCGGACTGCCGTCTCGCAGTCGTCCTCTTCCTTGTGCTTCTCGTCGCCCTGCTCCTTCTTCTTCTCCTCCTCCTCCTCCTCCTCCTCCTCGTCCTCCTCCTCCTCCTCCTGCACCTCCTCCTGCCGCTCCTGGTCCTCGTCCTGCTCCTTCTGCGCCTCCTCCTCCTTTTCCTCCTCCTCCTCCTCCTCTTCCTCCTGCATCCTCCTGCGCCTCATCCTCCTCCTCCTGCGCCTCCTCCTGCGCCTCATCCTCCTCCTCCTCCTCCTCTTCCTCCTCCTCCTCCTCCTCCTCCTCCCCTGCACCTCCTCCTCCTCCTCCTCCCCTCCTCCTCCACCTCCTCCTGCGCCTCCTCCTCCTCCTCCTCCTCCTCTCCTCCTCCTCCTCCTCCTCCTCCCCCTCCTCTTCCTCCTTCGTCCTCCTCCTCCTCCTCCTCCTCCTCCTCCTCCTCCTCCTCCTCCCACTCTTGCTCGGACTGCCGTCTCGCCCTCGTTCTCCTCCTCCTTGTCCTCCTCGTCGCCTTGCTCTTGCTCCTCCTCCTCCTCCTCCTCCTCCTCCTGCGCCTCCTCCTGCCGCCCCCGGTCCTCGTCCTGCTCCTTCTGCGCATCCTGCCTCTCCTCTGCTCGTCTTTTTGTTTGGCCTTCTGCTCCTGCTCCTCCTCCTGCTCCTTCTGCGCCTCCTGCTCCTCCTCCACCTCCTCCTCCTCCTCCTCGTCCTCCTCGTCTCCTTCCTCCTCCTCCTCCTCCTCCTCCTTCTCCTGCGCCTCCTCCTGCCCCTCCTTTTTTGAGATTGGTCGGACAAACGCTACACAGCTGTTGTGCCCATGCCGGCGAAAAAACAACAGAGAAACGCCTGAGGCGCAGTGGCCAACAAATTGGCCATGGTGGTCGGAGGAGAGAACAACCAGTGGCACAGCTGTTGCGTCCATGGCGGAGGAAAAACAGAGAACCGACTCAGGCGCAGTGGCCGACAAATTAGCCCCGGTGGGCGGAGTAGAGAAGAACCAGGGCAGCAGGGAAGGATAGCAATAATGGCAAGCCCGTGGAGGCACATGGTGCACGCACGCCTACTGGAGGGGGGGGGGTGATGGAGGCGAGAAAGCTTTTTGCAAGCACCATAACTGTGATGATGGGTGGGGGAGGTCGAACCACTGTGCAGGCGGCACCTGGAGGCACCAGGGGGGCCGTGGTGTTGTGTAGGGCGTCGGGAGTTCGAGACTCCATCGGCTACCGGGGCCCCCGATGCAATACCGCCCTGGGGGGGCCCGGCCCTGCGACCGTCGCCCCACCGTCCAGTCCCCCTCCTCCTCCTCCTCCTCCTTTTCCTCCTCCTCCTCCTCCTCATCATCGCAAACGCTGCGCGACGCGCGTCGTGTCTGCTGACTCCAGGCATGGCCGCCGCCCGCGGCCGCGCCCCGAGAGGGAGGTAGAGGCCACCGCTGACGCCGCCGCCACGTTACAAGGAGGAACGACGGAGACGAAAGGGGGACGTACGACGACCCCCCGAAGGGCATTGGGGCCTTGGGGGCCCCCGCCGCTCCCTCCGGGGGGTCTCTCGCAGGCGCCGCTCAATTCGCGTAGTTGTTGATGCTGCGGCAGCGGGCCCGTGCGCTGTAGCGCCACGGGGGACATGAGGCGGGCACTCCAGGCCCCAGAACTGGACAGTGTTGGACATCAATACTTATCAATTCAGGTGGTGTGATCCTGGCTGGTGGTGGGGTCCTCGGTGTAGATGTCCAACGGTACATATAGCTGTAGCAGCTCATGATCAACATGTTCCAAGGTCGATCCACGGGCGTAGTAACGTTCCTGCCAGGATGTTTGAATGGCTTGCGCCATGTATCTTGATAATTCCGATGGTAACTCCTTATTCTGGGCCATTTTGTCACTTCCTTTGTTGTTACGTCCAATGCTGGCTTCATGGTACTGGTGTCTGCAGCGGCAGCTGTCATTCCTCCTGTTGATCAGGGTGCTGAAGCTGCTGCAAGATACCTGGAGAATGGTAGTGGGCTTCCTGGAAGTCTGGCCCATTGAGCATTGGTCAATCGTAATCGTGCATACATTTGGTAACTTCATGAGCGCTCGCATCTCAGGGATAATCCAGCATGATGGGGCTTGTGGTCGCCAATTCCTCCTCGGATGTACCAGCAGCATGGGTATGTAGTGTTTTGCGCATGCCGCTGCCAAGAAGATCGATGCCCGCATTAGCAAGTTGTCCAACGTGACTTGTTGTCGGTAACGCATCTCATTATTTGGTAAGCCCCATAAATATTGCGATGAACGTACTGGGGGAGGTCCTGCATATCCTTCAACTTGATGATACCTGGCGCCACACCAGGTCTCGCAAGGCGGTTCTGCTAGAATGCCCAATATATGCCCTTCGGCGACCATCCTCGCGAACTTGAGAATATTTTGCCAGTGTGTGAGGTCTCCAGCCTCAGATAGTGCAACATCTACTTGTAGTACCACGCAGCTGAAATCATGTTGTTGTTCTATCCAGTCTTGCAGATCCCCTGGCCTTCTTCGGCCTGAGAATAGATGAAGTACATATTTGCACGTAGGCAAGTGAGTAGGTGCAACTCGTGAGATTGCCTCCTCCGCTTCAATGTCGTCAACGTCTGCTGCGTCTGGGTGGTCGTAGCCTCGGCGTACTTGCGGGTGGACAGGAACATGTTGAGGTGGCTGCGGTGGTGGAGGTACTTCGTCATCTGGAGCATGTTGGCCGTAGTCTTCTACTTGCTGCAGCCGATGTGTTTTTCGACGTTGGGGTGCATCCCGTCTGACTGGTTGTATTGCCTTCGATGCTCCATAACCTTGCTGCTTAAGTGCTGCTATCGTTGCTCTGTCC